GGGGGGGTTTAAGACTCTACGCTCACCTGACTGGGACCTGTCGGAGAAACGTTGCAATTTGAGGTTTGTCATTCTAGATGACCTAAACGTGTTATAGGGCTGGTAGACGCATTCCATGTGATTTTTTAAGAGACTGCTGGTAACTTTTTGGAAGGAAAAGGAATCAAATGAGGTAGTATTTGAAGAAGCCTATGTGGGACACTTGTTGATTAAAATAATCAGAAAAAGTCAAATGCAGTTCTGGGACACTTAAATAGACATAAAGGCCTTGAACATCTAGCTTTCATTGGCAAAATTAAAGGCAAACATAGAGCAACCTACGTAGAGAGCCTAAACTGATGGATGATGGAGAAAGGTCAGGGTAATGTGTCATAAGAGCAAAGGAGTGAATGGAGTACAATGATCACCTATGCCTGTCGCAGATCTGGCACTTGATGATCAAAAAACGAATACCATATCAAACATCAAACGTTACAGATTCCCAGGCCAGTTGAACGGTGACTTACGCAAACTGGCCGTGAACATGGTGCCTTTTCCACGTCTTCACTTCTTCATGCCTGGATTCGTGCCGCTCACATCTCGCGGCAGCCAGCCCTACCGGGCACTGACTGTCCCAGAACTGACCAGCCAGATGTGGGACGCCAAAAACATGATGTGTGCCGTTGACCCTAGGCATGGGCGCTTCCTCACAGCCGCCGCGGTCTTCAGGGGCAGATTATCTACAAAGGTAACAGGTCGGACCAGAGTTCAAAAAGCCAAATCCTTTTGTCTATGTTCTTTTCTATCCCTGACCCACCGTCCTCTGTGCCTGTGTGTCTGTATGTCTGTCTGTCTGTCTGTCTGTTTGTCTGTCTGTCTGTCTCCCTCTCTCTTCTTGTGTCCACCTGACTTCTAAATTACTATTCTTCGTACCACCCCTCCAATAACAACAGCAGAAGCAGCAGCAACAACAAAAGTAACAACAACAATGTCACCAATACCATTAGATGTAGCGACAACAAAGCCGACAATATGGGTGGCCGCATAAAAACTGAACATTTCAAGAAAGCCGCGTCAACCGCAAAGTACGCACCAACATTGGCAAATCTACCACAATAGAGGTACACTATCGCAACATAATATCCTAGTCTGATGTCGTGTTATGCCGGAAGACTGAGATACTCGATAATTAATATTTTACCTACTCAAGAATCGAACTTGGGTCTCCAGCATACGACGACCAAACTCCTTATCACTAAACCACAGACGCTTGTGCATTGCATGCGATGGGACTGAGGTGGAAAAGAAGAGAGAACAGCCCAACAGAAAGAGTACCAGAATCTAGCCTGAGTTGTTTGTCATTGACAGTGATCAATGATAAGAATTTAGAGTTATACACTGCATTGATAGAAATACAATCGTATGGCAGGCTGCTTCGACCCTGCCTGTCAGGGCCAGCTCATGTTATCTTACTGAGTGTACACTGCTAGTCGAATTCATTTGTCTGAGTTGGAGTCAGGAAAACTTTTCTCAGTGGAAGGGTGAAGCTACCATTGTGGCACAATTCGACTGAATTCGACTAAATTCGATTGTGACATTTATAAACAAACATGTTTGTTCTTTTTAGGTCACTAGTCGAATCCGTCGTATTGTGCCTAAATGGTTGCTTTTGCTCATCTGTGCAGGAACATCTCTCTGCCCCCTTTTCATTTCGACTGTGATACATTCAAAATTTAATGGAAATATGTTGGCGTTACCGCTAACAAGCCAAATTAACTGTATTTAAGAACACAGCACTCCCCTGAGGTTGCCGGGAACGGCAGTAGTAATGTGTTGGCGATGTTTGTAGTTTACTTTGTATTGTGGGAAATGTTTATTGCAAACACCATTGTAAACTATTGTAAACCTAATTTCCTACAATGTAGAAATGAGTGGTCTCTTAGGAAGAAGAAAAAAATTGTCAAGGGCTTCGAGCTTACTGATGTTCCTTTATCTGCTGTGGGACCTGTTGGTTAAGCTCCGTAAAGCGGATCCTGCTATGTGGAGTTGACAGGTTAGATCTTGAATTGGAAACCAATTTTGAACTTAATAACTTTGCTTATTTCAGGAAGTTGAAGAACAAATGCTAAATGTCCAGACCAAAAACAGCCCTTACTTCGTAGAGTGGATTCCCAACAACGTGAAGTCCATCATGTGCGATATACCACCTCGGGGACTTCGAATGGCAGCAACTTTCATCGGGAATACTACTGCCCTGCAAGATCTCTTTAGGCGCATTGGAGATCAGTTCGTGGCTCTGTTGCAAAGAAAGGCGTTCTTACACTGGTGAGATTTTTTAAAAATGTCTTTATGGTCTCACAAGCAGATCTATACTTATTATATTTGGGAAAGTTCGTCACCTTGGTCGCCTAAAATTTTGGAACCACTTAGTTTTTAAATTTGACAAAGTTACTAGTGGTTCATAATCTTTTAAAGGGTGCACAATTCTATGGAGGAGCCTGAAGTCACTGTAGTTTAATTTTCAGTGTTTCATTAGTTTCGTTTAGATCTAATCTAGGGAAAGTCCGTCTTCCAAGACGCCATGGTAAACAAGTGAGGTTTCCGTGCGCAATGTTCCCACACCTTTGAAATTCTGGAGTGTACAACCACGAAAGCGGAACAGAGAATCAATCTATATATCACTATATCTAAACCTTCTAATTTGTTGCATCTCTCAAGACTTATTGTTCCATTCAAGTAGAGTGTAAATAAAGTAGGCCAATGACTTTCAGTTGATGTTAATGTACCGATCATTCCTTTCATCGAAAGGGGCCCCAGCTAATAAAAGAACATTTGTTGCAAGAGCTGCGTGAGGTGTGAGAGTAAGTATTATTGAGTCAGTTTTACGATCTCTAAATACGACATAACGCAGTGTCTTTCTCAGTCTGAGGTCTTGCAATTCTACATAACGTTTGTTCCTTATCGATTTCGAAAATGGTTTTCAATTAAAATTGTAGGAATTTTCGTCTATTTGCAGGTAAATATAAAATGTTTGATCTCTGTACATTCAGTTGTTTGCAATGTGCAGATCATGAAGTTTTAATGACTTTTCTTTGGCGTTAAGACTCAAGGTTATCAAATTTCTTAGACTGCCTAGGCATGTTTATAGGAGGTATTCTTCACTTTACTCTTGTAACTTGCAGATTAATCCCCCCCCTCCCACACCTAGCCCTTCATTTCTGAGTAATTCTAATCCCAGTTACACCCCCCCCCCCTCCCCGATTCCATACCTTTCACAGGTACACCGGAGAAGGCATGGATGTGTCCGAATTCTCAGACGCCGAAACCAACATGCGAGACTTGATAGCCGAGTACCAGCAATACCAAGATATCCCGACAGCTGAAGGCATGGACTACCTGGGGGATGCCTTGGAACTGGCTAAGGGCTCTGGCTATTGACCAACTACTTATTTACTTACGTACTTACGTACTTACGTACTTACGTACTTACTTACTTACTTACTTACTTACTTACTTACTTACTTACTTACTTACTTACTTACTTACTCATCCCTTAGTCGTCTAGATGACCTTTGGGGCACCAAGGATGATCGGGCAACTACTTTTCTCCATCCGTCTGTATTTTCGGCCTTTCGAAGGCTTTCACTCAACTTAAAACCTGTCCATTCCGTTATTTTTGTCTCCCCATCTCTTTTTCAGTCTGCCTTTCCTTCTCCCTCCCTGTACAGTGTCCTGAAGGACCAACTAACTTGTGATCAAATTGAGGAAAAGCAATAAAAGGTGCTGGAATGAGGAGTTTGGTTTCTAGGTTAAGGTCTTAACCCCTACACTGCCAGGCGTGCTCTTTGGTCCTAAGAAATAGCGAAAGAGTGGCGGGCTTGATAATGAAGAGGTTAAGATTGTAAATAGGGCACGGGTTACAGTTTCAGTGCGAAGAGTATATTAGAGGAAGAAGAAAAGGGATTAAATTTTGTGTCGATCCTGACTGATTGTGGTCAAGATTTGTGTCTTGTTTCTTTGCTTTCTTCATTGATTTTGGTATTCTCCCGTATTGTTGCTGTTGCTGTCCTCGGCGTTATAGCTGCTGCTGTCTCGTCCACTCTGCCCCCCACCCCCGCTTCTCCTATTCTCTTCCTCATATCCTCCTCCTCCTCCTCTTCCTCCTCCTCCTCCTCCTCCTCCTCCTCCTCCTCCTCCTCCTCCTCCTCCTCCTTTTCTTTTTTTTCTTCTTCTTGTTCTTGTCCTTCTTGTTCTTCTTCTTCTTGTTCTTCTTGTTCTTTTTCTTCTTCTTCTTCTTCTTCTTCTTCTTCTTCTTCTTCTTCTTCTTCTTCTCCTTCTTCTTCTTCTTTTTCTTCTTCTTCTTCTTCTTCTTCTTCTTCTTCTTCTTCTTCTTCTTCTTCTTCTTCTTCTTCTTCTTCTTCTTCTTCTTCTTCTTCTTCTTCTTCTTCTTCTTCTTCTTCTTCGTCTTCTTCTTCTTCTTCTTCTTCTTTCAGGGCTATTTCTGTTGCTGATGCTACTACCATGCTATTGCTGCTGCTGCTTCTAATTTTTGTAAAATTCTTCTCGTCACTTTTTCAGCGACTTTTGACGAAGGGAAGCAAACACATCTATACAAAGTAAAAACTGATTTTAATGGTGATGCCCCTTGTCAATTTGGGGGGGGGGGGGGGGGGTTGCGATGGGGTTGGTTTTTTTAATCTGAGTTTTTTTTATAATATAGGGATATCTTCATTTTTCCTGTAGAATAAGAAAACAAATGATAAAACTTCGCAGTTGATCATATTGGAGCCAGACAAACCCTTACTATTCCGATACATTCTCAGTATCCTGGAAAGTATAGTTTAAGGGGGTCCTAATTATAATAATTATATTCTGACACGATCTTTCTCTATCTTCGCCATTTTCACCACTGCGAAGTAAGGATTGTCAGTGTGAAGAATTCGAGCCTTATAGGCAGCGCCCATTGGAGGTTCAGTTCGGGTCGGTTCAGTATCTGGCGGCTTCAGTGCACACTATAAATAGACCAACTGCCCAAACTGATCGCAAGACGCTCGACCTTGATAAGAAACGAGTTTGTTATTGAAGGCCATTATCAATTTAGTCGGTTTTGTAGGTTTTGGCCCTCCGGTAGAACTTACTTGGTTACTTGGTTTGAGAATAGGCGTCATTGCAGGCGGCTCAATGCCATAGCTCCTCCTCCCTCCTCTCCAGGGTCCATGAAAGGGTCTACTTGCTGATCGTGCCAGTTAACAGCTGGTTGGATATTCTTCAAGCTTTTCCATGCAGGTTGCTGTCCCTCACCGACCCTCTAGAGACACCAGGGTCGGGGAGAGACCCGTAGAACACATCCAGCTAGTTCAAACTGACAAAACAGACACAACCGACAAAACAGACGAAACTGAACCGAAACGGAACCGAACCGATGATGCCAATGGGTGCTAGGTATTACATCAGATTTAAGAGAGTCAGGCAGTTTAGCCACAAGACTACGATACGAATCACACACGTCACCGACCCTATCAATAATTAACTCTTGGTTTACGGCGAGCCAGTTCAGACAGCGCACTGCATCAAACTGTTATTTGCTGTCACTACAAAAATCTACGAAACCTCAGAAAATTTATCTCGTTCATGAAAAAGCGGTATGTTTATTGCAAGGATGGTTTATTTCTTCTCAGTTTGATGTTTATTCTTTGCAAACAGGTTAAATAGGAGAGGGCGTAATAGGGACGTTTTTAAATTCTAAAAAAACTGGATGACAATACTGGCAATACTGGCAATATTGGTTGTGTTCAAAGGTGGGATAGCCTCCCGTATACTAAGAGTTAAATAAATAAATAAATAAATAAATAAATAAATAAATAAATAAATAAATAAATAAATAAATACATTCATATGTGGGCCGCTAGGCCACGATTTTAGTCAATTGCACCAGAACGTAATCTAGAAAATCAACCGTGTCTTAATTTGGAAGATTTTATGAAACTGCATCAAAATGGTAGCTTCTGTCCCTCTGTTTAGTAACATCTGACCTTTCTCAAAAACATTAAGTCAATTCAAACATAGGTAAAACAAAATTTTTGCGCTTTGAAACAAAACTCGAAATTTGCTATTTTCTTAAAACAATGTTTTCGGTTCAATTTTGAAACAAAAATCTGCTCTGAATTTTACGAGTGGATGTCGCTGAAACAGCAGGAGGGCTTCTAAAGTGGTATTTAGGAACTTAGTTATAATATCTTGTTTACTTTTGGTTCTTCGGGGTACGACACCGCTGAACTGCAAGCTCTTTGCTCTTTCAATCTATATTTTTACCCCAGCAGCCACATGAACACTCAGAAACATTCTCAGCTTTCCAAGAAGCATACAGTGCAAGCAGCGGATTAAGCGCTTCGACAGTGTAAGAAACATACAAGATCTTTTTGCTGCATATAGTCGGGTATCCATTCCTAACTGGATGAAGTGAGAAGATTTCGTATAAAGTGCCTTTCTCAAGGAGAAATCGCCCTGCCCCTGAAGGGCTTCGAACTCAAGACTTTCCGCCCGAGCCCAACAGTCTAACCACTAGCACTAGACCACCGCCAATGCATTGTATTTGCTTGACAAGGAGATGACCTTCAGAGGACAACAATGGTGTTTCTATTACTATGTTCATGCTTTTTGAAAATGTACATGTACATTTGTCTTGCGTTTAAAACAAACAAACAAAATACATTTCAGTAGATAGATAGATAGATAGATAGATAGACAGACAGACAGACAGACAGACAGACAGACAGACAGACAGACAGACAGACAGACAGACAGACAGACAGACAGACAGACAGATAGATAGATAGATAGATAGATAGATAGATAGATAGATAGATAGATAGATAGATGGATAGATAGATAGATAGATAGATAGATAGATAGATAGATAGATAGATAGATAACGTTTGTTGACTCATAAGTGATTTCACTTAAGAAAACAACATACAAATTACACAACGCAGTCAAAAATTGAAATTTTCTTGTGTTATGCATTTCATTTTATTTCCCACACACGTGGCCATAAACGTTTCATATAAATAAAACCACTCAAGATTAACGATTGAATTTACCATTCTACAATCATTATTGACACCGTCATCTCGACAAATTAGTCTTATCATTTAATTTATACCGAGCATATACATTCCTTAAATAATATTTCAAAATAATCACGAAACAGAGATTGTAAGCTACGAATGAAAGAGCCGTAGCTTAGGAAACAAACCCTGATAATCTTGAGATCATTAAAGTTTTGTTCATCTTGATGGCAGTACATTTTAAAAAGGTATGTATTAATATGTATTCCACAAAAAAGAATCAAGACAGTTTGACGATTTGGTATTCTGAAAATTCTAAGCGAGATAAGGTAAATACTTTACTATAATTTATAATGTTATTTTTAAATACCGGTATCACATAAGACTAATTATTGCTTGGAACACAGTCAGGCCTGTTAGCCTGCATTATTACATAATGCCTCAGCCTTTTTCA